GAAACACTCTGGTTGCACTTCTTCTAAGACAAAATTGCCTGATTTTTTTTAACAGTCTATAATACTCTTCTCCAATACCACAATTCAAAGACATTAATCAATTCTTCTGTTATTCAGGTGCATAGGAAACAATTGAAAGTTCTTGACTTGGATCAGCTTTTTTTTTTCTATAATTATATTTTATTAATTTTCATAAACATTTACAGAGATTTTGGGTTTCCATTCATTCATTGTTGCACTATTCTCTCTGCCGTCCTCCCAGTTCTTGTCCAAATGCCACAGTGCTTGTCAAAGCCAGTTCTGATTAATCTTCTTTGTCAGTGTGTCCTTTGCCATTCCCTATCACTCCTCCCTGAGAGAGACTTCACCCTGAGTCATAAGGAAAAGGGGATGGCATATTCTCTTAGCTACTTCCTGCTGAAAAGGGATGCTGTGGGTTTCAGGGTGAAGATCTTCTCTCACTACTCTAAAGGGCCCCTTTGGCAGTAGGAAACACATAGACTATTATGGAGATTGATTTTGGAATTTAGATGCACTCTTATTGATTGTTGGATCAGCTATCTTAAACTTTAAACTGGTATCCTGGCTTTGGAGAAATCCTTGACAGCAAATGTTTCCAGTGCAATATGTCTTGATTTCTTTTTTATTATTACATGTTTTTATTGCTTTTAACACAATTATTCATATACATTTGATATCATGCATGTACATTGTACATGTATTATGCAATCTTTCATTTACATTGTTATTTTGTTCATGTATGTTGTGGGGGTTTTCCCCCTTATAATCATCTAACTGATAACTACATTTGTGAAAGCATGTAAACCAGCTCCTTTATGCCTCATGCCTTAACAATCTCATTTTAGATAGGCAATTTATGATTTGCCTATCCCTACCAAACCAGTTTTTCCCATTCTCAAGAAAGATGATATGTGTTCCCATTCCCAAGAAAGGCAATTCAACAGATTGTGGAAGTTAATAATATCATTAATATCATATGCAAGCTGAAAAATTATGAAAAATTTCATACTGCTGAAAATGATTCAAAAATGCCTAGAACAATACATAGACAAAGAACTATCAGAAGTTCAAACTGAATTTAGAATAGGTCATGGCATCAGAGATATTATTGCTAATATCAGATGGATCATGGATAAAAGCAAACAATGCCAGAAAAATGTCTTTGTGTTTTATTAACTATGCAAAGGCATTTGACTGTGTGGATCATAATAAATTATGGCTCACATTGAGAAGAATGGGAATCCCATAGCACTTAACTTGTGCTCATGCGAAACCTATACCTAGACCAAGAAGCTGTTATGTAAACAGAGCAAGGGAACACGTTGTTGTTGTTGTTGTTAAGTGCCGTCGAGTCGCAGGCGACTCACAGCGACCCTATGAAGGAGAGTCCTTGGCGCTTGGGTGCCTTTCATCCTCTCTCCAAGTTCATAGGGTTTCCGGAGGCAAGCTATTATGGAAGTGGACGCCACTCCTCCTTCCACGCTTGTTCAATCGGGGAGCTCCACCCCACTTTCAGTCCGCATTGGGTAGCCAAACATTAACGCATTTGACACATCCGTATCACAGTGTTCAGCCTCACAGCAACCACAAGTGACCGTGGAACGGAACACTATAGGGTTTAAAAATTAGGAAAAGTCATAATGCAATATCTGTCCTTATGAGAGTGAAGTACTTTACTTAACATAATGCTCTCTAGGTTCTCCCATGTCGTAGTTGTTGTTGTTATGTACCGTCGAGTTGTTTGCGACTTATAGCGACCCTATGTACAACAGCCCTAAACCCTGCTCTATCCTGTTTGTTATTGTTGTTTGTTGTCTTATTAGGTTTAATGTAATAATAGTACTTTGAGCTCATACAATTTGATAATTTCAGTGAAATATGAAAAGTAAGAGA